ATATATATATAAAGTAATAGAACAGTAATAAAGTAAAATGTTCATTTTTTTCCCCTTTTTTCTTTTACACTTTTTTTTCTATGAATTTTTCTACGGACCCCCAATAGTGCCCACTTGAAATCCCCTGAATTAAAGTGTCTCATGCTCAGAGAACTACAGCAGCATTGCTGGGGTGGCAAAATACCTTATAAAAATGGAATATTGGTTGAACACTTGAATGAATGAAAAGAAAACAGATCTATGTCTCAGCACATGCTGTCGCGCACACACAAGCGTACACAGTCCATTTAATGACAGCACAAATGACAGACAATTACTTCTTTTCAATGCAGAATCCTCCAAACAGCTTTTAAAGTAACAGATCCCATCTGCTGTCTGATGTGGTTCAGTGATTTCTCATTTACAATGCTGACAAAGTAATTTGTCATTTCAAAGCATCCATACGACTCGCCGCCAGTTGGCTGAAAGCGTAAGGGGAAGTTTCACCATTTAAAAGCTGCTGGGGTCACTGACATCATTTCGAGAAACGGCAGAGAATCTCTAAACTGCTTCATATGTATAATTGTCACGAATCCGGTTCATGGACTTCCGTCCAATTACCACCAGAGGTCGCTCTTCCATTTTTATGACTCTCTCACTACACAGACTTTCACATGTCACCCCGGACTACATTTCCCAGCAGCCATTTCACTAATCACACGTTCACCTGAAACCAATCACACACACTATATAACATCCACTCAGAGCCTGTTCAAACGGACAAGAATTGTTTAAGCGTTTATGCTGTTTAGCGTAGCTATTTTACGGAGCCAGTTCCCTGTCCTTGTTTAAGTTTCTAGTTCTAGTTTCTATAGTCTAGTCAAAGTCTTGCCTTGCCTGTTTTCTCGTGTTCTGAACTTCTGCCTGTGTATCTTGGATTAACCCTTTGCCTTGTTGTTTCGAACTGTGTTTGCACCTCGCCTGGACTATTGCTCATGTTATTGGATTACCCCTCTTATCAAGCCCCACGGAGGGCCAGGTCCACATGGAAGTGGAGAGACCGGGGACGTAGGCAGAGCCGGCAGAGCAGGGCACCAAGGCAGGACCAGCGAAGCAGGAAACCAGGGCGGAGCAGAGAACCAGGATGGAGCCGGCGAAGCAGATGGAGTTGAGGACCACCACAGCAGAGCAGACGGGTCCGAAGGTCCCCACGGCGGAGCAGAAGACCACCAGGTCGGAGCAGAAGACCACCAGAGCAGGACAGAAGACCACCAGGCCGGAGCAGATGGAGCAGGAGACCACCACGGAGGAGCAGACGAAGCAGAAGACCACCAGGTCGGAGCAGAAGACCTCCACGGTGGAGCAGAAGGCCACCAGAGTAGAACAGAAAACCTCCATGGCGGAGCAGAAGATCACCAGGGCAGAGCAGACGTAGCAGAAGACCACCAGGGTGGAACAGATGGAGCCGGGACCCATGGCAGAGACTGGGGCCTAGGGAAAAAGACCACCAGAGTAGAACAGAAAACCATGGCAGAGCAGAAGACCACCAGGGCGGAACAGATGGAGCCGGGGCAGAGACTGGGGCCTAGGGAAAACTGAGACACAAAAGACAGACAGTGCATCTATGGCATCAAAGACTGAGGCAGGGAAGGCAAAAAGTTCATTCATAGTTTCCCTGGAGACAACTGAACAGGCAGACAGTTCATAAACAAGCTCGGTGGCTGAAACTGGATAGACAGACAGTTCATAATCAACTGCATTGGCTGGAAT